AATATTTATACCATCTCCCATGTATTATTTTCACTGATGATGTTGAGTACATTCTTCGTGAAAACGGTGGAACATTCAATTATACTCATCGCCAGTATTGGTGTTCCATGGGCTGTGGCTATGTGGGTACCATTTGCGTTGGTTGGTGAGTTTGTTCAAAAAAAAGAACTGTGTGATGGCGGGAAGATCATTGGTAACGACGTCGAAAGAGAAGCTGGTACGAGTGTGCGCTACGCATCTATATCATCGACTTCGTCGTCATCGCCTTGTGTGGAAGATCTTGATGACCAAGAAAAAGAGGAGTTCGATGCTGGAATGATTTTGGGTGTACACAATATGTACATCGTGTTTCCACAGTTTATTATATCGATAATCAGCGCAGTGATAATCAAATTTGTTGAAGAGCTTACACATACGGGCGGCAGCATCGATGGTATAGGAAAGAATGATGCATACGGATGGGTATTTAGGTTTGGTGGATTGATGGCTCTTGTAGCTGCGTTCTTGTCGCGACATCTTATTGACTTACATATTTATCGAGCGACGTGATTGTTCATTAACCTAATCTTTATTTATCATCATCATTTGATTGCATACCGTATAAATGTTATTAGTTGTATAGTATGTATTGCAGTATACGATGCCTTTTTTTAATAATAGATATATTGCATAGACGTAAATATTTTTATTATCATTTTTTTGCTTTAAATGAAAATTCAATTTTATTTTTTTTATTTGTAGTAAAATTATTTAAATTGGATTGAAAAATAAACAAATATTTTAGTTATAAATTATTGGACTCGATTTATTTATTATTGAAGTAAGATCTTTTTTTTTAACTTAAAAATATTATTTTGTTTTTTTTTTAAATTGAATTATTCTTAAACTAGTTGAATTATTGTTTATAGTTTATTATCACAAATTTTTTACAAATTAAAAACTCAAATTAAAATTATTTTTATTATCAATATTATTATTGTAAAAGATCCCAAAATATTTATATTAAAGTTAATAAACAAAAAAAATATTTTAATCAAAAACAAAACCAACGATCTTTTTTTTTTATTATAAATTAAACATTGGATATAAAATTTTTATAAAACAATAATATCTTGATTATTATATAAACTATTATATAGTAATTTATAATTTATTCTTTTATATTAATTTAATATTATCTAGCAAGTAATTAAACTTTTTACAATAATTAAATAATTAATATTTATTTTATAAATAAGAAAACTTGAAAAATTAATAGAACTGTTTATATATTAGTTATATTTACTATACTATATAGTAGTTTACAAAAGTTTTATATTATTAAAAATTTAAATATCAAATTTAATAATCAATAACTATTAATATTTAAAAATCAATTAAAATTAAAATTGACAATTTGTAAAAAATATATATTTTTGCTTATTTTTAATTATATTCTTGATTTTTTAAAAACTAAAAACAAAATAATTAAATTATTTTAAAAATATAAAATAGTAGAATAATATA